ACTGAGATACAAGCTTCAGAATATTTCACTGAGAATAACAGCGGTGTCTTTAAAGCTTCACTTTTGGTCCAATATCTACAGTCATTTCACCTTGGAGAGACCCATGAGGAAAACGCATTAGACTTATTAGATTTAAGCATGTTTATTGATTGAGCATGTTTGGCGCCCTAGGCCCGGGCGGGATGCTGTTGAGCACGGCGCTTGCTCGCGTGCATGATCCCCCCGGGGCCTAGGCACTGGTGACGGCAGAGGCAGTAGGCAACACGCTTCATGCGAGAAGGAGGAGGTGGGGCGGCGGCGGCTTGCAGACTTCAGAAGATCGGGAAGTGGGCGTCTCCGGCTTTTAACTTGCTGTCCTGGTGGTTATTGGTTGACTGGGTGTGGGCGTTGCTGGTATTGATGAGTCGAGGAAGAGCAGCCTGTGGCCTGGCAGCAGCAGCCGGGTCTACCACGGTGAACTTTCGCGAAGCTCCATTTCACCTTGGAGAGACCCATGAGGAAAACGCATTAGACTTATTAGATTTAAGCATGTTTATTGATTGAGCATGTTTGGCGCCCTAGGCCCGGGCGGGATGCTGTTGAGCACGGCGCTTGCTCGCGTGCATGATCCCCAAAAAGCGGGCCTGCGATTGGGATAGCAGGACGTACTGCGCGGGCCTGAGAGCATGAGCGAGCTGAGAACATGCGCACGCGCGCATGTTCAGCCAGCCGCTGTAGCAGAGGAATCTTTGAGCGAACTGAGAACATGCGCGCACGCGCATGTTCAGCCAGCCGCAGCAGAGGAATCTTTGAGCGAACTGAGAGCATGCGCGCACGCGCATGCTCAGCCAGCCGCAGCAGAGGAATCTTTGAGCGAACTGAGAACATGCGCGCACGCGCATGTTCAGCCAGCCGCAGCAGAGGAATCTTTGAGCGAACTGAGAGCATGCGCGCACGCGCATGCTCAGCCAGCCGCAGCAGAGGAATCTTTGAGCGAACTGAGAACATGCGCGCACGCGCATGTTCAGCCAGCCGCAGCAGAGGAATCTTTGAGCGAACTGAGAATATGAGCGCACGCTCACGTTCAGCCAGACGCTGCAGCAGGGGAATCTTTTGAGTGTAAGAGAAAAGTGCGTGCCGCCACCAGAATCTTGTTGCTTACTTGCTTTGCTGGGAGCTTACGAGGAAGCCAGTTGACGTTGTGCTGCCAGGATAGAGGTCGCATCTGGCCTGATGTAAGCGGAGAAGGCTGAAGAGGACCAGCGCCCCAGCTGTTGCAGCGAAGAATGGGGGAGCCCCAGCGAGGCCGCGCGCGTTGCAGCGCCTATCCTGAATGAGTGTGCCGTATAGAGCTGGGGAGACAATTTACAGAGGAGCAGTAGGGATCTCAGCTGAGCTCTGAACCAGGTTGCTGTCATGGGAAGGTGGTCTGGAGTGAGAAATAGAGGACCGTTAGAATCTCCTTTTTTGCAGCGGAGGCGAGTGTAACGCATCATGGACTTGTAGGGGCAGAGAGATGTGTCGGAGCGAGCTATTATTATATTGCAGGCACCTTTGATTTTTGAATGTTTGAGATGAAGGTTGAAGTGGTCAGGGTAGTAGGACAGATCGGAAAAAGCAATGTCTAGGGCCACATTAAAAGTCGAGTGAGCAGAGGTGAACTCGCTTATGCGGAGAAAGCCATAGAAGGCGAGCAGGAACGCGCTGCGAAGGAGGGCAGAAGTGTACTTGGAAAGAGAGCCAGAGTTCAGTGTGGCGCAGAGCTGTTCCAGGATGGGCAGCGTGATGGGGAGCCTGTGATCAGAAGAGTGGGGAGTACATTTGTGAATGCCTTTGATGAGGAGTTTGATGGAGGGTTCGGAGAATAGAGAGGAGAAAGCGGGGTTATGACAGCGGGCCTGAAACTGAATGCCAGAGAGCAGCGTACGGATATAAGTTACTTTGTAATGGAGATTGTCCGAGCAGTGTACTATAAAAGCCATGACAGTAGATACAGATGGAGGTAACGAAGAAATGTTGTGAGCGTGGCAGAAGAGGGAATAGGCTCTCCAAGCGGAGCTGTATGTAGACAGTGTAGAGGGGGAGAGGCCCTTTCTCATGTAGGAAGAAGCAGAGGAGAGGAGGTGCGAGAGGGAAGGTGAAATTAATCCAGGGTTAGTTGATCCATGGTCGGGATTGCGCGTGGCTTCGTGCAGGCTGAGGGGCAGAGGCGCCGGAACTCCTGAAATTTGAAACGAGAAAGGCAGTCAGCGATTTGGTTAAGGTGACCGGGAACGTGGCGTGCAGTGATAATGAAATTGTTTAAAACGGAGAGCCAAGTGATGCGTCTGAGAAAGGACATTATGTTGGGTGACGAAGAGCGACCTTTATTTAGTGCTTCCACTACATCTAGATTATCGCACATGACAGAGATCCTTTTTCTCCGCCACGTATGACTCCAGAGCGCGCAGGCCACGACCACGGGGTAGATTTCGTGTAAGGCCGAGGAGATGCTCCGGGGAAAAGTAGCGGGCCACGGCCCGGCGAACCACTGGTCCTGATAGAATCCCCCAAAACCCACGGAAGGGGCAGCGTCCGTGTAGAAATGGAGATCGTCGGAGGACCGGACGATATCGTCATAAAAGAACGAAATGCCGTTCCAGCGGTCCAGCAGGCGCGACCAGAAGTCCAGGTCGGAGCGGCACCCGTCGTCCAGAGTGAGCGTGTCGTGCAGGGAGGGAACCGAACCCGCGAGGGTGAGAAGACGTGAAATAAAAGAGCGGCCCTGGGGAATGATGCGGATGGCATAATTGAGGTGCCCGAGCAGAGAGAGCAGCTCGCGCTTCGTGATGGAGGGAGAGGATAGGGCAGATTGTGACACAGCGCGCACGCGCAGGAGCTTCTCCAGCGGGAGGGAGGCCTCCATGGCGCGCGTGTCGAGGCGGATGCCGAGGAACTCCAGGGCGGTGGCAGGGCCCACGGTTTTCTCCTCGGACAGGGGGACCCCGAAGGCCGAGAAGGCCGACTTCAGCCTACGGAGCGAGTCCCCGGAGCCGTCCGCGGGGGGGTCGACGAGGAGAAAGTCATCTAGGAGATGGAGGACAGAGGGGAGCCGGACATTGTTTAACAGAATCCAGCACAAGGCCTCGGAAAAATTATTAAATAAGGAAGGACTGCTCCTGCAGCCAAACGTGAGGCGCGCAGCAAAATAAAAACTGGAGCGCCACTTTACCCCGAACAGGTGCCAGTGATCGGGGTGAATGGGCAGCAGCTTGAAGGCGTCCGTGATGTCCGCCTTTGACAGCCAGGACCCAGGGCCGAAGGCCTTCACCAGCCGGATTGCGTGATCCACGGTGGTGTACTGCAGGGAGAAAGACTCAAGAGGGATGAGACTGTTGATGCTCGGGACGGGCCCGGAGCGGGGGTGGGATAAGTCAAAAATAAGGCGCTTCTTCCCGGAATATATACGCGTGGCAACTCCCAGCGGGCTGGAGCGAAACGGGGAAAAGGGGGGCTTGGAGAAGGGGCCGATGATGTAGCCCTTGGACACCTCCCGCGCGATGAGCCGCGTGACGACGAGGGGCTCGCGGAGAGCGGATTGCAGGTTGCGGGACACGTAGGACGCCGAGGGGAGAGCCGCCACGCCAACATGGAAGCCCCGGGCCAGGCCTGTCAGCAGGAAACTGACGAAGGCCCGATCAGGATGGAGCGCGAGCGCGTGGGCCAGCGCGGGCACGGAGACAGGGGTGGAGAGGTGGGTTGTGATCAAGGCCTGTACGAAGGCTCCCCGGAACGGCGGTCCTGCCGGGGGCGACCCGGGCACACGAAACGTGGATGGGCCCCCCTGCACAGATCACAAATATGGAGGTAGGTGCACGATGGAAAACTGCATACGCCGGTGTTGAAAGAGCGGCACATGGGGTTCAGACGACGTACCTCCTCTTTGGGGAACGCAGGCGCGCGGGGCCTAGGAGCCTGACTGGTGGCGGTGTCGAACGGAATAGAGGGGCAGAGGGGAGAGCTGTGCCCGGCAGCGCCGCATCGGGAGCAGGAGACCACGGGGGCACCGCCAACGGACAGCAGCAAGACCTCGGTGTCCATGACCGCCCAGTCCACCCTGACGTTTGCCTGGGAGATGAGGGCCGCGGCCTTGGCGGCGAAGGCCCGATGGTAGCGGTAGAAAACGCTACCGCCGTAGCGGAGGGCCAGATCCCCCATCAGGCCCAGATAGGCGTCCAGCTCGGGCCTGCGCTCGGGGTATACGGAGCAGAGAACGTCGCGGTACACGCCGAAGGCCACGAGGAACTCCCCGATGGACAATTCCCGCGACAGGCGGGGATCCGCAGCCTTGACGACCGCGGTGACCAGGGAGGAGGCCGCCACCTGCCTGTCACACTCAGGGGAGGGGAGGATGAGGGAAACCAAATTTATATAGCGTCCTAGCAGGATCTTGGTCCGCAGGCGCGGGGAGACGTTGGAATAGGCATTTATGAAAGGCCTACCCGACGCAGCAGGAGCCACGGCAGAGGAGAGGGAGAAGCCGATATCCGGGGAGCCGCCGGGAGGCGCAGCGGCAGGAGCAGCCACCGGAGCCACGGCGGGGGTGGGAGGGTGGGACTCGACGGCGCGGAGCCGGCCGGACACTGCGGCCACCGAGCTCTGGAGCGATGACACCGCCGAGAGGATGGCGTCCGTGCGCGCGCAGAGGAGGTCGCGGTCCTGAGCCGCAGCTGCCACGTGGGCCGCGAAAGCCGCAGCCAAAGGATCCAGCTGGGGAGGGGGCAAACCGGGAACCGCAGGGGCGGCCCGGGAGACGTCGATGAGGCAAGGCGCTGGGGCAGGCACGGGGCAGGCCAACGAAGCCGGGGGAAGCAGGGGCCCGTCGAGCGCCGAGGAAGGGGGGCAGGCGCGCGTTGGCTGCAGGTGCCTGGCCTTGCTACGGCGTTTGCGAGGAGGGGAGACCGGAGCCGGGGGGGGGGAGGCAGAATCCGCCGACAGTTGCTCCACGAGTCGCTGGAGCTGCAGCGGGGTTGCACCCGGACCTGGCACGACGCCGCGGGCCGCGAGGAAGGTGCGAACGGAACCAGCATCCTGGGACGCCAAGCGCGCGCTCTTCCGGGACCGGTCGGGCACAGGTGAGGGGGGAATGAACAAGTCGTTCAAAGAGCTACGTGGCGAGCCCGAAACAGACGGGGACGCACGAGCATGGGGCGAAGCTTGCATGGTGGATAGATGCGTTTCAGCTAACATACACTTGCAGACTTCAGAAGATCGGGAAGTGGGCGTCTCCGGCTTTTAACTTGCTGTCCTGGTGGTTATTGGTTGACTGGGTGTGGGCGTTGCTGGTATTGATGAGTCGAGGAAGAGCAGCCTGTGGCCTGGCAGCAGCAGCCGGGTCTACCACGGTGAACTTTCGCGAAGCTCCATTTCCATCCGTCATTGTCACCGTGTTTTTATGAACTCAGAGTTTAGCTGCCTTAACTCTCACAGGCTCCAAATAACTTTAAAAACATCCTTATCATGGATCCTGATCAGGTGAAGGAGGTGCTAGAATAAGGAAGTCTCGGGAATCTCTGCTTTGTCGAGCCTCGGATAAAGTGAAAGAGAAAGGATGTAGTTTATCTTGGACCGTAAACTCACACTGCTATTGTCACTTTAATTTAATTGTACATGATAAATCTTGTCTTTTTACTTTTTAACACGTTTGCATAATGTTCTGTCTTTTTAACACAACCTGAGTGATTCTATTTATGCCATATATGAGGTATACATTTCCCCATTGTGAGATCTATAAAGTCTTATCTTATCTTGTTGTCAGACCAGCTCAGGACCATTTACTTATCTGTGGTTGCTATGACATAAGCTAGTTTTCTGATTAGACATAGATTGTTTTAAATCCATTGTCACATACATAACCCCCACCTCGAATCCAGACCTGCACAGCCTCCGTCCTCGATCTACAGCCTGACTCCTGGATCTACAGCCTGTCTGTCTGTGGGAGCTGATCCCGCTCTGATCCATCTGGATCTCCCTTAGCCTGGCCTTATCCATCCGTACACTCCGCTCAATCATCATTTCACTGCATGTAACGTCCGGGTCTGGTCCCAGGGTTAGCGAATACAATCGGTTGAATTTTGACCGACCAATCAGTGAGCGCGGAAGGAGAGTGTTGTAGTTAGTTGTGGGTGACGTCAAGAGTTTGCGTCGAACGGGAAGGTCGTGGTTTGGCAATGGAAAAAAATGTGATAGTAAAGTATTCTGGTCTGGTTCTATCAAGAAACTGAAGCCGGAGCAATAGAAATGTTTAGCAAATGTATAAGCTAGAAAACATTGTGGCGCTACTCCCCAAGGGTTCTGTTAGCGGCAAAGGAGACGGCTAGGCTAAATGCTAACAACAGACTCGGGCGCATTACATACGTCATGGTAAACTCAGATCCAATGGTTTCAATCTGCAAAAGGAGTTAACCCCTCCCACCTGTTCACGGAGTCAATGGAGCAAATTCAGACCTTTGTACGTAATGTAATTTGTACTATGGTGTGGTACGACCAGGCTAGGTCTCCCTGAGGTTTTTTACTATTATAAACATTGGTCATCCTGCCATTGGCTCCTACGTGTTTGTGTACAGTATATTGCATCTCCTGCGTTCAAACTGTTTGATTCTCTAATCTGCTGGTGAGGAATCAACAGTTTTGTAATATGTTGTCCTCTGAGACTAGGGCTGTGGTGATTTAGGGCTGCTCAGAAATAAAATCTAAATTGAATTGAGTACATACTGGGCTGGAGGAGAGAGTTACATCTTAAAAGACAAAGAAAATACAGCAATTATTACGACAGATTTATATCACGGGCTTCAATAAAAAACCCTTCACAGATATTCTTAAAGCTGAGAGCGAGATATTGATGTGAGGGTTTTTTAGACTTGTCTATGTGCCATTCTAAGTCTTTTGTTTCCTCCAGAGAAAACAGAGCCTGGAATCTGACAGAATTCAACTGTTTTATTTCTAAAGTATATTTCCTTGCTCTCAAAACACTTTCTCCGCAGACCCGGCTCGTGTTATGAGAAATGTGAGACGGTTTTGTTTCATGAGCCGATGCCGTTTTATTGACAATAGGAGACAGCTCAGAGAAAGGCTGTGATTGGTCAGAAGTGTCCGCACAAGTTACACGGAAAAGTCCACCACCTTTTCTGCTTTAACAAGTTCTTTGATGCATCGAAAACGTGGTTACTATAATCGCTGATAATATTTTATATATTTCTATCAAAGCTGGGGTTCCTAACTTTCAAACCTCCAGTTATTCCCCAATCTAATGATATCCATCCAACTATAAAAAGTTCACATACACACATCACATACATACATTTTTTGGCCTTTGCCACCGTTTTTTTTTTTTTTTTTTTTCATAAACAGACAAAAACATCAGAAACAGAATAAAACATGAAAAACATAAATTGGCAAATAACAACATACAGCAGAAGTTTAGCACCTTTACCCACTGGGCTTTAGAGAGTTTCTTTGCTGATGCAGGAGGGTCAAGCTCAAAGACAGTGGTGATGAAGAAGCCTGGGTTTGAATCCCGGTTGGAACAGGGCCTTTCTGAGTGGAGTAGGTTTCCTCCGGGTCCTCCGGTTTCCCCTCCCACTAAAGGGATAACCGGTGTGTTTTCGGCGACTCGCTTCCGTCATCACTGTGTGGAGAGAATGGAAAACTATCTGAACTGAACATTGTAAATCGCTTTGGGTGACCTTGGTCTGTGAAATAAGCTATATAAATAAACCTTACTTATTATATGACTTGGATCGTACGCGCGCTCTGATTGGCTGATTTGCGGTCTGATATTTTCCCATCTCAGACCGTTACATGACAATTGGTCCGCAGAGCGTATCACATTTGATATCATTCCTCGGTAAAAAAGAAATGATGAGCAACGACAGGGAGCATTCTCAGTGAATTCTATCATCAGGACGAGTTGGAAGAGCCAGAGGAAGTAATAACAGCAAAGAACAACGAAAACACAACTCCTAACAGTCAAAAAGAGATCGACAACAGAAAGGTTAAAACGGGACCAGGAAAACCAAGTCGGACATGAACATACTTCACAAATATCTAAAAAGCATTGGTAAAGACACAGAAGAGATTGAGAACTTACAGCGGGCGCCTCAATCATCTGTAAGTTCTTCTTGTCACGGTTTGACATTGGTTGCATGTGTTTTTGCTAGTGTTAGTTGAAATCGATTGATATTTGCACAAAAATAAAAAATAGTCATATAATAAAACATTTATTAACCTCGCTTGCTCGGTCCTTGGTCTTTTTAGCTCAGACCTCGTCGCGGTCTGATATTTCTCTGTACGCCGTTATTACTTACAAACACAGTGGTGATCAACTACTACTGTAGCCACAGCTGCCCTGGGGCACACTGAGAGAAGCGAGGCAACCAGTCTGTGCCATCAGCCCCTCCCACCACTACCAACCATTCACACACACCAGGCTCATTCTAATGTGGGGGAAGTGTCTTGCCTAAGGACACAACCACGGTTTAGCACTTTACAGCCGCAGCCGCCCCACTGTGGCACCTGCTGTTCCCAGAGGTCTCCCATCGCCGAACTAACCAAGCCCTGCTCTGCTTAGCTTTAGAGGTCTGAAAGGATGTGCCTTTCACCTGCAGGTGGCGCCACACACAAGCTGCACAGACACATCGGTCGGCACTAGATCATATACGGAATCGGGACGAAACCGGAAGTAACACCCATACTTTCGAATTAGTTTTAGACTAATAAGTCCTTAAATGGTGACTGGTTAAGTTTTAGGCGTCTGAGTAAGATGGTTAAGGTTAGGGTTAAGGGTGGGTTGGGGTTATTTTATGGGAATGGCTGGTTAAGGTTAGGCATGAATAGGTAATTTGTAATATTTACTTCCGCTTCCGTCCCGATTCCGTATATGATCTAGTGCTGACCCAGACACATCCCCCCGCCCCTTCTGCCTACATGCTCCTATTTCCAACTTGCATTTCCCTCTTCCACCACTAGAGGCTACTGTTGCTTAATCTAGTCATCTTTTATACTCCATGTTTATCCATCGTATTTTTTCTTAAGAATTAATTCCACTTATTAGTACTTTAAAAGGAGCTAAAGTGAACTGAAATAGTGCGTAATATTTGCTCAGCTTTTTAAGGACGGTAAAATAAACTGGTGTGGAGGCTGTGATGGAGGAGGAGAGGTTTGTGAGGTCAGAGTGAAGAGAGTGAAACAAAACAGGTCTTTATTTGGACTAAATGAACCGTGATGTTGTTTGTGTTTAATGTATAATTAACGTTCTCATGATCATGTGTCTCGTGAGATGGATGAAGGAACTCAAAATGCTGGACGGAAAACAGAGAGTAATTTAATAAAGTAAATGCAAGGAAATGCCAAACACACAGAGAATTCTAGATCTGAAACAAGACAGGAACAAAACGTGGTGCAGACAACAGCACAGGGAATAAACACAGACACAAAGACAGACAGACACACACACACACACACAGACAGACACAGACACGCAGACAGAGACAGACAGACAGACACACACACAGAGACACACACACGCACACAGACAGAGACAGACACACAGACAGACAGACACACACACGCACACAGACAGAGACAGACAGACAGACACACACACAGAGACACACACACGCACACAGACAGACACACAGACAGACAGACACACACACGCACACAGACAGAGACAGACAGACAGACACACACACACAGACAGAGACAGACACACAGACAGACAGACACACACACGCACACAGACAGAGACAGACAGACACACACACACAGACAGAGACAGACAGACAGACACACACACAGACAGAGACAGACACACAGACAGACACACACACGCACACAGACAGACTGACACACACACACAGACAGACACACACACGCACACAGACAGAGACAGACACACAGACAGACACACACACGCACACAGACAGAGAGAGACACACAGATACAGACACACAGACAGACAGACAGACACACACACACAGACAGACACACACACACGCACACAGACAGAGACAGACACACACACACAGACAGACACACACACGCACACAGACAGACAGACACAGACACACAGACAGACACACAGACAGACAGACAGACACACACACACAGACAGACACACACACACGCACACAGACAGAGACAGACACACAGACAGACACACA